TTCTCATTGGCTATTTTATATATGATAATGTGAGTTTCCATGTTACTCTTTGCATACATCTCACCCTCTCCTCGCACCTCCCCATGTCCGTAAGTCTATTCTCTATGTGTGATTTTTCCATTGCTGCCCTGTAAATAAATTCTTCAGTACCATTTTTATTAATTCCATATATATGTATTAGAATATGATATTTATTTTTCTCTTTATGACTCACTTCACTCTGTATAATAGGTTCTAGGTTCATCCACCTCAGAACTGACTCAGATATATTCCTTTTTATGGCTGAGTAATATACCATTGTGTATATGTACCACAACTTCTTTATCCATTCATCTATCAATGGACATCTAGGTTGCTTCATGTTCTAGCTATTGTAAATAGTGCTGCAGTGAACAATGGGATATATGTGTCTTTTACAATTTTGGTTTCCTCAGGGTATATGCCTAGGAGTGGGATTGCTGGGTCATATGGTGGTTTTATTCCTAGCTTTTTAAGGAATCTCCATACTGTCTTCCATAGTGACTGTATGAATTTACATTCCCACCAACAGTGCAAAAGTGTTCCCTTTTCTCCATACCCTCTCCAGCATTTATTGTTTATAGAGTTTTTGATGATGGCCATTCTGACAGGTATGAGGTCCTATCTCATTGTAGTTTTGATTTGCATTTCTCTTAATAATGAGCAAATTGAGCATCTTTTCATGTGTTTGTTAGCCATCTGTATGTCTTTGGAGAAATGTCTGTTTAGGTCTTTTTCCTAGTTTTTGATTGGGTTGTATGAGCTGCTTGTATATTTTGGAAATTAATCCTTTGTCAGTTCTTTCATTTGCTATTGTTTTCTCCAATTCTGAAGGTTGTTTTTTTACCTTGCTTATAGTTTCCTTTGCTGTGCAAAAGCTTTTACGTTTAATCAGGTCCCGCTTGTTTACTTTTATTTCCATTACTCTAGGAGGTGCGTCCTAGAGGATCCTGCTGTGATTTATCTCGGAGAGTGTTTTGCCTATGTTCTCCACTAGGAGTTTATAGTTTCTGCTCTTACATTTAGATCTTAAATCCATTTTGAGTTTATCTTTGTTTATGGTATTCAGTTCAGTCACTCAGTCGTGTCCAAATCTTTGTGACCCTATGAACTGCAGCACGCCAGGCCTCCCTGTCCATCACCAACTGCTGGAGCTTACCCAAACTCATGTCCATTGAGTAGGTGATGCCACCCAACTATCTCATCCTCTGTTGTCCCCTTCTCCTCCTGCCCTCAATCTTTCCCAGCATCAGGGTCTTTTCAAATGAGTCAGCTCTTCACATCAGGTGGCCAAAGTACTGGAGTTTCAGCTTCAACATCAGTCCTTCCAATGAACACCCAGGACTGATCTCCTTTAGGATGGACTGGTTGGTTCTCCTTGCAGTCCAAGGGACTCTCAAGAGTCTTCTCCAACGCCACAGTTCAAAAGCATCAATTCTTTGGCCCTCAGCTTTCTTTATAGTCCAACTCTCACATCCATACATGACTACTGGAGAACCATAGCCTTGACTAGACAGACCTTTGTTGGCAAAGTAATGTCTCTGCTTTTTAATATGCTGTCTAGGTTGGTCATAACTTTCCTTCCAAGGAGTAAGTGTCTTTTAATTTCATGGCTGCAGTCACCATCTGCAGTGATTTTGGAGCCCAGAAAAATAAAGTCAGCCACTGTTTCCCCATCTATTTCCCATGAAGTGATGGGACCAGATGCCATGATCTTAGTTTTCTGAATGTTGAGCTTTAAGCCAGCTTTTTCAGTCTCCTCTTTCATCCTTAGGCCCTTTAGTTCTTCTTCACTTTGTGCCATAAGGGTGGTGTCATCTGCATATCTGAGGTTATTGATATTTCTCCCAGCAATCTTGATTCCAGCTTGTGCTTCATCCAGCCCAGAGGTTCTCATGATGTACTCTGCATGTAATTTAAATAAGTAAGGTGACAATATACAGCCTTGACATACTCCTTTTCCTATCTGGAACCAGTGTGTTGTTCCATGTCCAGTTCTAACTGTTGCTTCCTGACCTGCATACAGGTTTCTCAAGACGCAGGTCAGGTAGCCTGGTATGCCCATCTCTCTCAGAATTTTCCACAGTTTGTTGTGATCCACACAGTCAAAGGCTTTGGCATAGTCAATAAAGCAGAAATAGATGTTTTGCTGGAACTCTCTTGCTTTTTCGATGATCCAGCAGATGTTGGCAATTTGATCTCTGGTTCCTCTGCCTTTTCTAAAACCAACTTGAGCATCTGGAAGTTCATGGTTCACGTATGGCTGAAGGCCAACTTGGAGAATTTTGAGCATTCTTTGGCATTGCCTTTCTTTGGGATTGGAATGAAAACTGACCTTTTCCAGTCCTGTGGCCACTGCTGAGTTTTCCAAATTTGCTGGCATATTGAGTGCAGCATATTCACAGCAGCATCTTTCAGGATTTGAAATAGCTCAACTGGTATTCCATCACCTCCACTAGCTTTGTTCGTAGTGATGCTTCCTAAGGCCCACTTGACTTCACATTCCAGGATGTCCGGCTCTAGGTGAGTGCTCACACCATCGTGATTAGCTGCGCCGTGAAGATCTTTTTTGTACAGTTCTTCTGTGTATTCTTGCCACCTCTTCTTAATATCTTCTGCTTCTGTTAGGTCCCTACCATTTCTGTCCTTTATTGTGCCCATCTTTGCATGAAATGTTAGGAAGTGTTATAAATTCATTCTTTACATGTAGCTCTCCAGTTTTCCCAGAACCATTTAGTGAAGAAGGTCTCTTTGCCCCATTGTATATTCTTGCCCCCTTTGTCAAAAACAAGGTACCCATAGGTGCATGGGTTTATTTCTGGGTTTTCTATCTTGTTCCATTGGTCTATATTTCTGTTTCTGTGCCAGTACCATACTGTCTTGATGAGTGTAGCTTTGTAGTATAGTCTGAAGTCAGGAAGGTTGATTACTCCAGCTCTATTCTTCTTTCTCAAGACTGCTTTGCTATTCAGGGTCTTTTGTGTTTCATGTGAATTGTGACATTTTTTGTTCTAATTCTGTAAAAAATGCCATTGGTAATTTGATAGGGATCACATTGAATCTGTAGATTGCATTTGGTAGTATAGTCATTTTCACAATATTGATTCTTCCTACCCAGGTAACGTGGACTATCTCTCCATCTGTTTATGTCATCTTTGATTTCTTTCATTAGTGTCTCATAATTTTCTGTGTACAGTTCTTTTGTCTCCTTAGGAAAGTTTATTCCTAGATATTTAATTCTTTTTGTTGCAGTGGTGAATGGGATTGATTCCTTAATTTCTCTTTCTGATTTTTCATTGTTAGTATATAGAAATGCAAGTGATTTCTGTGTATTGATTTTGTATCCTGCAACTTAAGCAACAAATGTTTATTGAACATTTATGTGGAAAACCCTCAGTACAAAGATAAGAAAAAAACAAAATTCTGCCTTCAAGAAGCTCACATCCTAGGTGAGATAAGCTGTGGATTGTTAAATACTAATGTGAAAAATGATGCTTTCTTTGGGCGAGAACCCAAGCAAATGGTAAGTGAACGGGCCAGACCAAGTGTGATAGGACTTCAGAGAAAAGATCATTTTGTCTAAAATAATATGTAAGTAAAAGATGAGGCATATGAATCAAGCAGAATATGACACAGTTGAAGGAGGAACCATCAGGACATAAAAATGGGAAATATCCAGAGGTATGGTGTACATCCAGTTTGAACTAGAGAAGTTCAAAAAAAGGTTAGAAAGATGAATTAAGGCAGCTTACAATAAGCTTCAGTGTCTTTTATTCCTGTAAGTTAAAGTCAGCTGAATCTATGGGAGAAGAAAAGCAGCAAATGGATACCAGAGCAAATAGAAAACACAGACAAAAGACATTGTAGCCAGAGTTTACCTGTAAGACTGAGGCTCGGGAAAGTTAAATAACTTGCCCAAGGTCACACAGCTAGACAATGGTAGTTTGACCTTAAGCCTAAGGCAGTCTGGCAGCAAAGTCCCACTATTTAAACATCACAATACAAGAGAGATGAATAAATATATTCACACAAAAACTTGTACATGAATATTCATAGCAGCATTATATGGTATATAATATATATATATATAGTATGATTCCATTCATGTGAAATTTTTAGAATAGGCAATTTCATAAAACAAGAAAATAGATTAGTGTTTGCCTAGGGCTGCAGAAATTAGGGAACAGGAGTAAGTGCTAATGGGTATGAAGTAGTTCAGGGTTTTTTGTGGGGGAAGGAGATGATGCCAATGTCCCAAATTTAGACTTTGTTGATGATTGCATGGTTGGTGGTGTTATCTTTAAATATAATCATATAAACTGTAAAATTTAGATGAGTAAATTCTATGGTATGTGAATTACATCTCAAAAAAGTAGAAAAAATGTTTAAGCATCTAAGAGGACTACATTTTCGTATGTAGCAATGTATACCATTGCTGGTATCACAATGATACCTAGCGACCATGCTGCTAAGTCGCTTCAGTCATGTCCGACTCTCTGTGACCCCAGAGACGGCTGCCCACCAGGCTCTGCCGTCCCTGGGATTCTCCAGCCAAGAACACTGGAGTGGGTTACCATTTCCTTCTCCAATACATGAAAGTGAAGTCGCTCAGTCGTGTCCGACTCTTCACAACCCCATGGACTGCAGCCTACCAGGCTCCTTTGTCCATGGGATTTTCTAGGCAAGAGTACTGAAGTGGGTTGCCATTGCCTTCTCCATCAGCAACCATGGAGAAATGTGAAACAGAGCTTGTGCAAGTGGTCAGCTCTGTGAACGGAACAAGTCCCATGAGAAACATGATATAGAAACCAGTGACAGCTTGTTCTACTACCAGGGAGCTGATAGGTCTGCAAGCAATTTACAATCTGCCAATTCCAACCCTATGCCAAGTTAGACGGTTGGCTTTCTAGCTGGCCCAAACACGTTCACATCAGTTAATAAGGAGGTACTAACTTTGTTGTGTTTTGCTTTTTGTTCTGCAGTTTTTGAAGAGCCAGAAGATCCAAGCAACAGGTCATTTTTCTCTGAAATTATCTCTTCAATTTCGGATGTGAAGTTCAGCCACAGTGGGAGGTATATCATGACCAGAGACTATCTGACCGTCAAAGTCTGGGATCTCAACATGGAAAACCGCCCCATCGAGACTTACCAGGTACAGACCCCCACCCACACATACACTGGGCACTTGAGGGTTCCAAGTCAGCCTCTGTTTGCATAAAAGACACAGTGAGCCACTTCAATATCCAGAAATAGCTGGTAGGCAGGTCAGTTTAAGTTTGGATAGATCTAACCTAAAGGAAAGGTCAGGAACTACCCTGAGGCCCTAGGGATTACAGGCTGGGAAGAGGGAATGGATCTGGCATGAGAAGTTGGAGAAAAGTGCTGGTGAAATGGGTCAGAAACTGAGAGGCATCCTGGAAGCCAGCTGGAGAAACTGTCTCAAGGAGGATGTCACCGACTGCTGAACAGTGTTGTTGAATCAAGAGAGGACTGAGAAAGGGCCACTGGATTTAGTGATGTGGAAATTATCAGGTACCTTAATGACAGAGGTGAAGTGGTAGGAATAAATGTCTGATTGGAGTGGGTTCAAGAGAGATCATAAATGGAGATTGTGAACGTAGTGAAATTTGGAGAGAGATTTTGTTTTGAAGAGGAACAGAGAAATCGGGTAGTAGCTGGAAGAGGATGCAGGATTGAGGAAGGCATCATAGCTTGTTTTAGGGTGATAGAAGCCAGTAAAGAGTGGGCTAACTGAAGCAGTCAGCTTCTCAAGGGAACATACTCCATTGCAGAATTAGATATAGATGAGATGGACAATTCATCCATCAAAAGAAAGAGAGAAAAGTAAAAACAGCTACAGATGCAGATTTGTAATGGGAACATATAGATGGTTTCTGCTTCTATTTTCCAGTCAAATAAGAAGCAAGCTCATTAGCTGAGTGAGAAGGGAAAGTATAAAATATTCATCTAAAAGAGCAAATTGACTAGGGCACTATGGTAGGGTTGCAAAGGGATCCACTTATTTATATATTTTAAGTAAGACAAATCTGGTGATTATATCTTTCTTCCCAGCCACATGAGCCTGCTTGGTACAGGTAAGGAAGGGCAGAAAGATTTACCAGTTTTATAAGTAACTACAAGGGATGAAGGGAAAAGGGCAAGTTTGTTGAAGGTATTGATTTAAAGGAGTGATGGGAATGAGGGGCCACTGAGTCTAAGGTAGGTAAGGAAGGAAATGATGAACTGATAGAATCAAGACACTAAAGGACTTGAATTAAAATCTTAGGAGGCAGCAATAGAGTGATATTTATAAGACAAGCACAGCTACAGTGATGACAAGGCTCATAATATGACCACGAAAGCAAAGGACAAAACTCACTGAAAATAATGAGGCTAAGTGTTTGAATTCCTAAGAATGATGGCAGGAATGGTGATGGAAGAGAAATCGAGGGTCTCGAGTGGCTTCCAAGCATGAGGCAGAGGGACTATTGATGACTATAAGACCACTCACCTTGGCACATGAAGGCAAAAGTCCAGCTGCCACGTGAGAGGCCTCGGGAGAAGCAGGAAATGTTCAGAGAGGAGGCTGAGGACGTTGATGACTGACTGTGATGCTGTAAAAGGTTTGGGGGCTAGAATTGCAGATGAGGTGGGGGTAGTCTGGTTAACCCCTGTGGTTCACCTTGTGGTTCAGATAGCACCTCCTGTGTGCTTGCAGTCTTACTCTCCCCTAACCCTTGCCCTCAGGCTCCTGCTAATGCTCCTGCTAACAGCCCAACCTTTTGGTGTTAAGTGCAGGAACTAGAAGCTAGGAGAGTGTTGTTGACAGAGGTGTGGCCTGCTGGAGAGCCTCAGCTAGAGAAGAGTGGATTAGGCTACACCGTGGGGGAGCAATTGGTACTTTTTATTATACCACGTTCATTACCAGGATCATAGTAAGTAAAGAAAAGAATACTTGTATAGAGATAGGTTTTAAGCGTAACTAGTAAAGTAAGCATTAAAAACTGGACCATTAAAACTATGTTTTAATTATTCCTAAGTAAGCATTGGGGCTTCTCTATTAGCTCAGTTGGTAGAGAATCTGCCTGCAATGCAGGAGACCCCGGTTCAATTCCTGGGTCGGGAAGATCCACTGGAGAAGGGAAAGGCTACCCACTCCAGTATTCTGGCCTGGAGAATTCCATTGGACTGTATAGTCCATGGGGTCGCAAAGAGTCTGACACGACTGAGTGACTTTCACTTCCAAGTAAGCATTACCCTGGAGATGAGCTTGCCTTTCTCAATGGGTCTGAAACTGATTTTTCTTCAAAAATGAAAGCTTCATTTTTGTGGCTGCTTTTTCAACAGCAGATTTCTCAGCTAATCTATGGTACTTTTATTTTAGACAAAGACTTAAACTATATTTAGCGAGTGGTAGGCTTAGAAATCTTTGTAGAATACTAAGAAATAGAACCCATGTAGAGAAATTAAACAAATTTTTGCACTATTTTAGATGGTATATTTGAAAGCAATCTAGTTAAGTTTATATACCATATCAAAGGTGATAATGAGTTTACCATTTCTGATATAGTGTATTAAGTGAGTGAGTGGAACACGATTAAAAGAGATTATAAGGTCAGCAGGCTCCACAAGTATATGATGTGAGAATCTCTGTGTTGGGAGACTCAGCCTAGTGTCGAGAAGGCCATATCCAAGCTCATTGGAACAGAACAAAGAAACAATACTTGGAACACAGAGAGAAAAGCATCAACTAGGATGAGTCTTAAGGTAAGGCATCCATGTGAGTGTGCTGAGAGGGAGAAAGACTTGGCTGAGCAGGTTTCTATGATACAAGCTTCTCAGAGATGCTTCTTGTGTCTCTCTTACCTTTTTCTCTCCTCTGATGGTGAAAGTCGGTGTTCTCTGCCTAACGTTTCTTTATATATGGAGCATACCTTCATAGTCTAGAATCTTCTCCTGTAGATATCCTCACCTGGAGGTAGTCAGGAGCTCCCCAAGGGTAGAGGCTGGAAGGAAAAAATACGGGTTCAGACTAGGTTTTCCCTTTGAATCTTTACTGACTTTTAAGGTCTAGAGAACCTCTGTGCTGGGAGACTCTATTGGTTTGTTTTTCTATTTCAGGGATTGATAAACTGTTCCTGTAAAAGGTTCCCTTTTAAGCCATAGAGTTCTTGGTGAGGTGATTCCTGCAATAAGGGGCCCACAATTTCAAAGTGCACATGCTTTGTTTGATACTTCTCACTCACCTGTAGGTTTCTGCAAGACAAATGGTCAGGGGACAGGCTGAGCAGGACCTTGAATGGCACACCACTGCCCAATTTATAACCCTTAATGCTCTGCTCCCTTTAATCCTAATTATTCAAGGCACTATTTGGTACTTCCCCTACCAAAAACAAATTTGGGGTGCTTACAGTAAAATAAAATAATATTCTAGTCCCCTCTTACAATTCTATAATTCCTGATCATTGCAGAACTCTGAGAAGCCTGTATTATAGAAGCCTGCTTAACCAAGTGCTCAGAACACTCATGGGTATGCCTTACCTTAAAAGTGCTCTGTACAGTTGGTAGGAATGTAAACTATTACAGCCATTGTGGAGAACAGTATGGAGGTTCATTAAGAAACTAAAAAGAGAGTTACCATGTGACTGAACAATCCCACTCCTGGGCATATATCTGGAGAAAATCATAACTTGAAAAAATACATGCACCCCCACATAGAACTACTTACAATAGCTAAGACATAGAGGCAGCCTAAGTATCCATCACCTCTTGCTGATGAATGGATAAGGAAGATGTGGGGGGGTGTGTGTGTATACACACACACACCATACATATATATGCACAGGAATATTACTCAGCCATTTACAGCAACATGGATGTTCCTAATATTATCATACTAAGTAAAGTAAGCCAGAGAAAGGCAAGTATCATATGTTATCACTTATATGGGGATTTTTTTAAAAAATGAAATAATTTATATGCAAAATAGCAATAGCCCCACAGATGTAGAAAACAAATTTATGGTTACCACATGGGGAAAGGGGAGATAGATTTGGAGTCTGGGATTAACATAAACACACTATACTATATATATATAAAATAGATAATCAAGAAGGTCCTACTGAATAGCACAGGAGACTGTATTCAATATTATATAATAACCTGTATAGGAAAAGAATCTGAAAAACAATGCATAATGTATAACTGAGTCACTGTGCTGTACACCTGAAACTAACACAACATTGTAAATCAATATAATATAAAATCAAAATTAAATTTTAAAAAAATTGTAAGGACTGGTCTTGTGGGAAGGAACCCTGTCATCAATTACTAGCACCTCCCCTGGGCAGGGAGATACACAGGTGATAGGTCTGTCAGTTGCTCTCAAGCATGTTTCCAGGAATAAGAAGCTGTAGCCTTAAGTATGAATATAATGAACTATTTTCACATTTTCCTATAGAACAGGGGTTGACAAACTGTGGGCCAAATCCAGCCCTGCATCTGTTTTTTGAAAAGCAGTTTTATTGAAACAGCACACCTGGTCATTTACCTATTGTCTACTGTTGCCTACAGGCTACAAGGGCAGAATCAGGTTATTGTGACAGAGACTGTATAGCTCACAAAGCCTAAAATATTTATTGTCTGACCCTTTACAGTAAAAGTTTGCCAACCCCTAAAATAGAAGGACAAACCAAGAGAGTCTAATCTTGCCAGCCCTAGAGTGGTCTATACAGCAGCAGGCTCCACAAGTATATGAAGTGAGAACATTTGTGTTGGGAGACAGCCTAGTATTAAGAGGGCCATACCTAAGCTCACAGGAACAGAGCAAAAAAACAATATTTGGAACTTGAAGAGAAGCATCTAATACGACAGGCTTTAAGTTCCCTCTTACTCTGCTCTCTAGATGCTTCTTGTGTCTGAGTCTTACCTTTTCCTCTCCTCTGATGGTGAAGGATGGTGAATAGTCAATGTTCTTTGCCAAAGATTTCTTTTTATGACAGAATATACATATGCAGCATACCTTCATACTTAATGATCTCCTGTAGACGTCCTCACCTGGAATTAGTCGGGATATCCCAGAATGTAGATGCTTGGAGGAAAAAAATAAAGGCTCAGACTGTGCTGTTCCTTCCTTAGTCATAGAGTTCTTGG